AGGTATGATTATACAAAATGTGAATTGAAATTAAATCAAACAAAATATATACAGTCATTAGCAGAAAATTATAAAATAATTAATAGTAGGTTATATAATACTCCAATGGAAACGAATCTAAAGATTGAAAAAGGTAAAGAATGTAAGTCTGATATAAAGTATAGGAATTTAATTGGTGCATTATTATATGTAAGTTCAGGCACGCGGCCTGACATAAGTCATAGTGTAAACTACTTAAGCAGATATCAAAGTTGTTATGACGAGACACATTATAAGTATGCTTTGCGAGTACTCAAGTACTTATATTTAACTAAAGATTTAAACTTAGTTTATCAAAGAAACTCACGAGTTGATATTATGAAATGTTATGTAGACGCCGACTGGGCAGGAGATTGTAATGATAGAAAATCAACTTCGGGATATGTGATTTTTATGTATGGAAATGTAATTGACTGGAAATCGCGAAAACAAAAGTGTGTTACAAAAGCATCTACGTATGCTGAGTATGTTGCGCTGTCAGAAGCTGTAAGCGAATTAAAGTACATTAAAGAATTGTTAAAAGTGTTCAAAATTAAGTTAAGAGAACCTGTTAAAGTATATGAGGACAATGTAAGCGCAATAAGTATAGGAAAATTCGGTAACTTTACGAAAAATTCAAAACATATCGAGATTCACTACCACTATGTACATGAAAGCGTAAAAGAAAAGAATATTGAAATTATTAAAGTGGATTCGAATGACAATGTCGCGGATATATTTACAAAAGCCCTATGTAAAGAAAAGTTTGTAAAATTCAGAGCGTTATTAAAATTAAACTAAAGAGTACGATATAAATGTAAGGAGGCGTGTTAGAAATAGTACATACTATATCGTACGGTACTGGAGATATAATATATGTACGCGCTCTACAACACTAGGCATAGATGACGCGACTCACTGATACACATATGTATGTATGTATCCCCTCCAGTACGCATCGCAATTGTCGGAGCGAGAGCGGCAGCGGCCGACTCACACTTCGGCAGATAGAATCGTGCCTCTGTCCGATTAGCACAATGAGCAAGTGCTCGCAACTGTATCTCCAACTTATTTCTTAAATATATTTTTCTTATCTCCAGTAGATTCATTTTTCCTAACATATATAATCATCAAACTCATGGTCTATTCAGTTTCAGCTACAAAATCAGATTTCTATTTGAGAATTAAAAGTTGTAAAAACAGTAAGTCGCTGGACTAAGATTGATAAAAATCTAAAAAATTCAATTAATTCAAATTATTGCTTTTAACATATATTGAATATTATAATTATTGAAAATATTAATCATGAAAATAAAGAACTGATTGATTATTTATAGATTCATATTGTAAAACAATGCGCATTTTGTTTTACAATTGATTAAAATATATTATACTGCATGATCGATATAAAAGTTAATAAGAACAATGCAGGAAACCTACACACAATAGTGTTACGCAAGTCGATAGACTAAGGACAGTGAAAAAGCTGAAGTAAATAAATCGATTTTAATGCAGCCATGTTAATATAAACTAAAACATTATTAACATGAAGGTCTCAAGCCCTTATGAATACAGAGAGGAATTTGGTTTTCTATAATAAAATCATAACTAAGAATTGCGAATATTGTTAAATTAATTTAGGGGTAGTTGCATATCGTTCCACGCGCTCAAACTTTGTACACCTCTTTTCTATAAGACACTCAACAATTATATACAAAAAAACTAAAAAAAGGAGTGGCTAATAAAAAATGACAGAATAAAAACTGCGTATTCCCTATATTTTATCAGTCGTTAAATTAAATTAGGGGTAGTTGTATATCGTACCGCGAGCTCAAACTTCGTGCACCTCTTCTCTACGTGACACTCAAGAATGTTATGCAAAAAAATTTAAATATCGACTGGCACAAATGGGGACGTAAAAACTTAGAATTACCGATATCTCTTTAAATGTTAAATTAACTTAGGGGTAGTTGCGTATCGTTCCGCTCGTTCAAACTTTGTACCCAAATTCTTTATATGACAATAAATAATTATATGCGAAAATATGAAAAAATGTAGTGGCTAATAACAAATTGTAGCTAAAAGATATCAATTTTGCTTACTCACCTGTTTAAATAAAATTAGGGGTGGTTCGGGGTATTTCCAAGCGCTCAAAATTTTTACTCATGTTTTTACATAGTAATAAATAGTTATTGTTAAAAATAATTAATTATTTTGTACTAAATAACATATAGCAATATTCGACCTTGTCTTAATTTTTAAGGGTAGTTTTTAGAGGGTGGTAGGTGGTTCCAATAGTTTTGTTTTGCCTTTTTATCATTATTGTAATGCATTTTAGCGATTAATTTTGATAAGAAGGCATTTTTTGAAATTTCGATTTTTTCGTTCAAGTTGAACGTTCCGAACTTCAAACTCATTTCTTGAAAGGCACTTTAATTTAGAGCGATATACAGTCACACTTGAACCGCCTAGGTTAGACGTCTAGGATCAGCAAAGAAAACTTTCTACGGTCACGAAAGGAATGCGCGCGGTCTTCTGCCTTACGCGTTCCAGGCAAGGTGAATTAGCAAGCGAGAGTGAGTGAGTAGTCGCTAGAAGAGCTCTCTCGGCACCAAATCTTGTTTCCGAGCGAGCCTTCTACAGGCTCTAGAAGTATCTAAAATAGGCTCTTACTCGATGCAATTTGGGGCGATCGCCACATATCATCTGAAACTTGAATTTTCTAAATTTCAAAGAACGATGTCTTGGCTTGTAAAAATCCGTTTTAAGAAAGTGGATAGTGGTTTTTAATCTTAAAGAAGTCTGATGCTATACCTGGATTTGCAATTGAATAACAATTCTCGATGTGAGAGAAGCTCAAACATAGCAAAAACCGTGGTTTTTCCACTTTTAGGTTAGAATATTTGAGAAACATAAAATGATGGAATAATTCTAAGTTAAGATTCAGATTCAATGCATCAGATTTTTTCGGGTACATCAGATCTATAGATTCTATAGATATGAAAATGTATTGGGCTTTGTTATCCATCAGCTACAAAATATCCATGCAGAAATTTAACATTAATATGATCTGCAAGGTTTAGTAAGCTGAAAAATTACAAACTGATAAGTCTTGATCAAATTAGAAATAATAATAAAATAACTAAATGCAAAAGATTTAACAAATCATATCAGTATCACAGATTTAATACTTGCAAGTATTCAAAAGTTTATCTATGTAATAATGCACAATGATGGTTCTAAGATATTTCTCTTTTTTTAAATTATGGAATTGCTTTTTGGATATAAGAATTTGTAAATAATAAAAATGTCGAAAATATAATTTAATTAAATGTAAAATGTACTTTTAATAATTATTTAATTCATTATATTAACTACTCAATATTATATAGAATGCATAATTGCAAGTATCAATATTCTTTAAGTTCATTTGTAAAAGGTTCGATTGCCTGCTGTATTAAATATGTTATATATTGATACCAAAATTGTTATTTATGAAATTATGAAGGCAAAATTAAACATTATGAAAGACAGTACAGCAAATAAAAATGTTTGGTACTATCAATAGTTGATTTGGTGAGCACCTTAGTACATGAATTTGAAGTTAGAAAGCAATGAAAATATCAAAACATAAAATTAATTCAACTTTATATGTGGTTTTTGATACTGATTACAATTACTAATATACTGATTACAACCCCTAAAAACTACCTTTACGAAAATCTATACGTACCACACTGCATATACATTAAAATTATTTTTGTCTACTTATTAGCTAATAATTATTAACAAAAAGGTATTATAGGAAAGGTATATGGGATAAGTTTAGCTGATGTATTTGTATCTATCATATATATATATATATCCCCTATCAACCTCTCCTACAGCCTTGTCAAACAAGTTGTTCTTACAAAATTTAGTAATATGTTTCTTCTATTTTATAATATACTAAACGCACTCTTATGCTCTTATCAATTTAATTGTTACTTTGAAAAATTGTCAGCTTTTGATAACCATTTCTTATCTCAAATTTCACATTTAATATAGAAACAGTATTACATTTATATTTGTGTGTGTGTGTATGTGTGTGTGTGTGTGTGTGTGTGTGTATAAATTGATAAAAACTTAGAAACATTATTTACTTTATAATGCTAAAAATAATACAAACATTAAAAAAAATTCTATTTGATAGAAGTCATGTTTATTACATTAATGTTTATTAAAGATGATTATGTAAAGATATCTTAATATTTCCTTCGATTTATTTTTATTCAAACTCAGGCACATAACAGGTAAACAGTATGCTATAGATTTTGGATTTTCAATTTCAATAGTTATATACAAACCAAACAATTGAATTCTTTTTGTTTACATGACATACATTATTAAATGATATTGTTATGGATCTTTCAATTTCAACCAAGACAATTATTTGTAAATAAATCAAATACTTGACAAATACATATTTGTATTTTTATCCAAAATCATGTAAAAAAGTATTAACATAAAAACAAAAATATTTGTATTAATCAAGTTCTACAATGTAAATAAAATGATACTTATATTGACTTTAATTATGATTTCATATATAATAATATATTTCATACTAAATACTTTGATATACGAGGAATAAGTTTGTTAAATTTATTTGTATGTAGTCTTCAAAAGTTCAAAAAATAATTATTAATTTATATTAATTAAGATGTAAAATGATTAAAATGAGAATTCATTTATTTTAATACTGATAGTTAATAATAAAATAATGCTATGTACCAAGTAGTTTTAACCATTTGATTCATAGGATAGCTATTACCAAGTCTTTACAGTAGTACTTCAAAAACAACTACAAAATACTACTCACAATTAATAAAATTTAGTTTAAATAGTTTATTTTTTCTTTTCAATAATTATTTTTAATACATATAGAAATTTATTATATTAATTAAATAGATAATAGAACATTACAAAAAAGTATGACATACTTTAGACAGTGAAGGTAAAGTCATCTTTGTAATGCAATGCTGTATATTCTCTTGGAGAAAAATTGAATTTATAGTATGTAACTTCAGAACAGAATTTTTCAGTTTTTAGTTAATTTAGGCGTGTCTTAATTAATATGTATTTAATTAATATTAACTATTAATTATTACTTAACAATTTATTGGTTTAGATTCCTGTAAATTTACAAACTATTTTATATAAACTGATAAATATTATACACACACTTATAAGTAATAATTTTTATTTATAATATGGATTAGTCGGATTGATTATGATTAATGATTAGCGATTGTTAGTAATATAATAATATTGACATTATTAATAATTTTATGACAGATCTCCGAAGGTTAGATAGCGCTTCTATCGGTCAAAAGTAGAAATCCTAAGACAGGATTTAACACGTTCCAACCTACATAATTTATAAAAATAAAAATAAAATATTACATTTGATGAATTTTGTTTTTCCCAATTAAAATATGAAATTATATTGATTTGTGCTGTCACAGCTTTTTCATAAAAAATTAATAATAGTAATTGCTATTATTTAAAACTTAAAACATGAACCTCTTTCATTAGTCGATATATTTTATTCAAGTAACTTATGAAAAATTGCTCTTTCGCTCCGAATTGTTTTATTCTGCCTAATTAAATAAAATGATGAATAGTTATTTTATAAACACTTATTAACTATTGTCAATGTTTCAACCCTAGTAGGTAAAGGCATAGTTGACCTAGAAGTCAACATCTACTCCGTTTCAGCCTGTATAATTTATGCAAAATTAGAAATAAAAATTGTAATCAACCGATTTTAATTTGTCCAGTCCGAATATACAATCAGATATATTTGCCTTTATGTGCAAAACAATACTCGATGATATACTGTTTGCTAACAGTGTTATCTCTACGCCGAATAATGTTTAAGCGCGAAGTTCAAAACAAGTAGGTAGTGTTTTAGGACTAACAATGAGAGAGTACATTGGGTTACGAAGTAAACGATACAGTATTGAAATAATAAATAAGGAGTCCCTGAAAAAGGCAAAAGGAACGAAAAAACATACAGTAAAAAATACAATCACTCATTCAGATTATCGAAAGTGCTTAAGCGAAATGGTAATTATTAAACGTACCCAATGTAATATTCGATCTAAATTACATCAAGTAATAACAGAGAGAGAGAGGAAAAGACAGTACTGTAACGGTCCAGTCTGATTTGTCTTCTATTTTCCTCTGCAAAACGGCAACCCGTCACACACGAGACTATTAAAGAAAAGCGGTAATTGAGCGTAGGCGCTTTTCACACGTATATGCAAATGTGTTAGGGCAACTCTGCGAAAACATTACCATATAAGGAGCGTGACGTCACGACCGTGGGAAAATTTATTGTTTACAAAAGAAAATCGTCAATTATAAAGTTTTTTAAACGAACAAAAGTATTTCTTAGTTAAATTTGATGCGCTGATCTTGAATTTCATGTTGTTATAACTCCCAAGTCGATATTTGCTAGTCAAATCTAATCTACAAGTTAATATTGTTAGTTATTTTGCAATAAACAACGATATTGTTATTTCGAGCATGCGATTACAACCTCGACGTATTAAAACAGAAAAACAAGAATTTGACACTTTGATAACTAATTATTCACTAAGTTATCAATAAATAAACAATTTATAATTTTTTTAAACAATTAAAATAACACTGTTAGATAGCAAATCGATCATACGTATCTGTAAAATTGATGATTATGATTGTCACTAATTTGCTGATTTTTAAACCGCTAAAAAAGAAATTTGCAAATCTGTTTTTTAATTATTATTCAAAATTAGAGAGCAACATTAATCATTTTTTATTTGAATAACATTCTTCTAACCACGAGCGATTTTTTCATGTAAAAATTTTCCATAATTTTATTGTAAAAGTGGCGTAATTTGATTATTGAATTGTATAACTTATAACTTTGAAAGGCGATTTTTCCTCGAGATGTAATTTATGTTAAAAAATTCATCATTTCAAGTTTAATTTTTTAAATCGTATAATTGCAATTTCGATCGAGCCATTTTGCGATAAAACGTGTACAAAATTTGCGTCAATGACAAAAATAGCGTTGTAGGGGCTACCAAGCGTAGAAAGGAGCCCATTTCGCATGTATAAATTCGCTCGTCGCTGCGGCAAGAGGACTTATTCTCCTACCTTGCTTAGCAGCGCGAGCACTGTTGTAGAAATAAAGCCTCAGCTATTTCCTGAGACGAATTTCTTGCTCAGTGGTTAGCCTGTTAAACTCCTTTCCTACAGATTTCTAAGCGCTCAACTCATGAGACTATCTCTCTCATGAGAAAAAAGCAGCCTTAGATATCTTCCCTCCTGAAATATATTTGCTGTTGAGAAATTAAATTGAGCAGTGATCGCGGCGCTGTCGGGCCTCTCCCCGATAGATGCCATTGCTCTCAATTGCATTTCGAAACAGCTCATCGAGTTGGTAAGCCTCGTGGTTTGCTACTCGAAAGATTTTCTTTTATTATTTAGATTACGCGCGTGTCAACTTCTTGCTTTTCTCGGAGACGTAATTGCGAATTCAATGTAAAGAGTCCGAACTATTATTTTCATAACGCGAGATAGATTCAAACGTTACAGTACTAAGCCTTCATGATGACAAACGCTGTATTTTTTATAATAATCCGGAATACGCTATGATAAAGCCTAGCTCTCTGATTTACCTGTATGTAACTATACTCAAAGTGAACGATTTACACGTAATATTACTACAGGTTCTCATATAAACGAACGTAAAGTGCATACTATACATGAATTTTTTTCCAGCAGTACCACTAGGATATAAAATCATTGAAGTACCTTCACATATAATTTATTTACCAATCGCCGTGAGAAGTATTGATCATTTAGAAATACGTACTGTTGATCAAGACGGAAACCTAGTTAATTTTCGAGGAGAAGTCATTACAGTACGTGTTCACCTCAAAGCAATATCGTGATAAGTGTGATTCCCATAGTTTTGTTAAATATGTAACAACAATAAAATTGGACGAGGATATATGAATAGACTGCAATGTCAGTCAGCGTTCAGTCGACCGAGAGCTACCGTAGCGCTCACGCGTCAGAACATTCAGTTCCTGAAAAGTCTAGGACTAAAAGTAATAGAAAATACATCAGCTGGCGCAAAATATCGTGTATATTAGTGTTGCTTACAACAAAATGGACGAAATACTAAATATTCATTCAGGTATCGCTTTCGATGAGTCGATAACTCAATACGAAGTTCATGCGCATCAACCTTATTCATTATCACATTTCAATAATAATGATGAAGTTCGTATCTCATAAAACATCAAGATTTATCCATACTTCCATCTCACAGTATGATTCATGTTTACGGCAGATTAATTCAGGAAAATAGAAATGTAGCAGTTAAAACTAAGTTAGTTAATAATGCTATATGTCATTTGTTCGAGGAGATACGGTACGAGATAAATGATATTGAAATAGATAAAGTAAAAACTGTTGGATTGACAAGTTTTATGAAGAACTGGCTATCACTGAATCCGAGTCAAAGTTTAATAGCTGAAAATGCTGGTTGGACTAGTGACAAAGAAGTATCACATACAAATGACGAAGGTTATTTCGATGTTACTATACCCCTCAGTATGCTGCTTGGATTTGCTGAAGATTATCGAAAAATTGTATTAAATGTTAAACATGAGCTTATTATTACAAAGTCGAGAAATGATTTCAATGCTACCATAACTACACCTTCCAATACAAATGGAGTAATAACTTATGAAAAAATTAAAATTACTTTGAATAAAATTGAATGGTTAATGCCATATGTAGTAGCAGCCGATAGAGAGAAAAACAAATTACTTGATCAAATTAGTCGCGATAGAGCGAACACTATGAATTATCGCACTTGGGGTTATACGAGTATCCAAAATTACCTCGCACATCTAAACATGTTTGGAGTGTGAAGACATCCAATCAATTGGAAAAACCTCGTTTCGTTATTTTAGCCTTTCAAAAACAACGAAAAAATGACGTAACCACTTCTGCTAGTCACTTTGACCATTATAACATTATCGATGTTAAATTATTTCTAAACTCTCTATGCTATCCATATAGAAATCTTAATTTAAACATTAATCAAAACTAATAGTACTTTATGATATTTACGCTAACTTTTAAAGCTCATATTATATGTCTTTACTTAATACTTAATCATAACAGCATATGTAACTCTCTCTCTCTCGCTCTCTCTCTCTCTCTCTCTCTCTCTCTTATTTATTTATTTATTTATTTATTTCGTCTTCTTATGCGTTCCTACTACCTTGAAAGGGCGAGTCGGCTTTCTTGTTGTCGTTTCAGCCGGAATCACAATGATTTTACGTCGCACAGCCTCACTGCTCTTAATTAGTGGCTTCTTCGGCACAGTTCTCTGTAAAATATTAAAATATTCATTAATTTTAATTAACATGAACGTATAAAATATATAAATTTTATAAATAGAAGTGATTTTTTACCTTAGTAGACAAATCCATTACCTCATCTTGTAAAATTTCTAGCGAAGGCATCGACGATGTCACAGATGTCGTAGACGTCGTAGACGATGCAGACGGACACGACGTAGCCGACGATGACAACGTCATCGATGAAGATGATGATGATGTTGATGAGGGCAACGCTGACGAGGACGATTTTGCTGGAACTACTCTTCTTTTTATTTTGGTCGTTAATTCATCCTGCGCCGTCTTGGTCAGCTCGGCTTTTCTCTTACGCTCCAATCGTGAGAATTCCTGTTTCTTTCTCATGATTTGCGCGCGCTTCTGGCGACAAAGCTACGCCGTCACTCGATCTTCTACATTTTTTTCAATTTGATAAACTAATTGCTGCACGACCAGCCTTTCGGTCAGTGAATCTTTGATCCACTGAAAAATAAAAAATCTGTATAAGTACGAGGTGTGTTCAAAAAGTAACGAGAATTTTTAAATTTCGCGGGTTTGGAGAGTCCGCTTGTATAAAATTTTTTTTTTATTATGTTGGTACACATGCCCCTGAAGTACGATAAAATTTTCAGCAATATTCATTGCTTACTTTTTAAGTGGCAGCCGCTAACGTTAGACGTGTTTTTCGAGCTCGGCGATTTTCGTTTGTGAAAAAAAATGGATCAAAGAATTTGTATTAAATTTTGCGTAAAAAATGAAATAAAGTGTAGTAAAGTTTGTCAAATGTTAACAAAGGCATATAGTGAGTCTGCTATGAGTAAAGCAAGGATTTATGAGTGGTATAAGCGTTTCCAAGATGGCCACGAAAACGTTGAAGATGACGAACGACCCGGACGCCCAAGCACATCAACAACCGATGAAAACGTGAAAAAAGTGAAAGAAATGGTTATGAACGATCGCCGAATCACAATCAGAGAAGTCGCTGATGATGTTGGCATATCAGTTGGCTCATACCATCAAATTTTTTCGAATGTTTTGGGTATGAAACGTGTGGCAGCAAAATTCGTTCCAAAATTGTT